ACCAATCAACGCTTCTTCCACCCTTCACGGATGAGAAAATTGAATAGAAAGAGTCAATAGAATTCGATTTTTTAATATGACTTTTTCTATTGAGATATTTTCTGTAGAATTTCCTCGGCTCAAATTTTTCAAATTTTTTTGGTTTCTTGATGAGAAGAACGTGAAAATAGAATGAAAAAAACTTGGAAAATTTAAGCCGAGGGAATTCTAGAGAAAATAGAATTCTGAGGAAAATAAGTTATGTAGAAAAATAAAATACAATTGGCTTTAAATGTTAAATATTTTCTACTGAACATTTCAATAGAATCGGCCACAAACTAAAGGAAAGTTCAATAGAAATCCAATAGAAATTTCTAACGAATTCGTGACTTCGTGAATTCGTGATGAATTCGAGACTTATATTAAATCTTTTCGTGCGTGTGACTATTTCAATGTTGTCCCCATTATTATTCATTTTTAAGGTATATCCTTAGAAAACACGTTTTTCTTAAGATTGTCCCCACGAAGAAATGAAAAAATATATATTCTGTACACTGTTCGAAATTTTTTAAAATTTCATGGAAGATATTATCGTAAATCTTATGAGAGTGACATTGCATCGGATTTACGGAAAAAATGGTTGTGGAATTTCACAACTTGATTGAATTTTCAGTGGAACATGAATATTCGCAAACTAAATGACTTGAATTTTCAATTTTTCCCTGAATTTTCCTGATTTTTCTTAATATTCACAGAATACACGCACGAAAAAATTTAATAGAAAAACCTATCGAATTCGTTAGAAAATTCTATTGAATTTCTATCAAACTTTCTATTAGTTTTTGGCTCATTCTATTGACATGTTCCGTAGAAAACATTTAATAGAAAAAGTCCACAGAATTCGATTTTTCTATATAACTTATTCTTTTCATATATTTTCTATAGAATTTGCTCGACTCAAATTTTCTAAGTTTTTTTTATTCTATTTTTATTTTCTTCTCATCAAAAAAATCAAACGAAAAAACTTAGAAAATTTGAGCCGAGGAAATTCTATAGAAAATATCTCAATAGAATAAGTGGTATAGAAAAATTTAATTCTATTGACTTTTTCTACTGAATATTTTCTATTGAACATTTCAATAGAATCGGCCAAAAACTAATAGAACAGTTCAATAGAAATTCAATAGAATTTTCTAACGAATTCGATAGGTTTTTCTATTAAATTTTTTCATCCGTGTAATTGAACTGAAAAATCTATTTGAATGATTTTCAGATCAATGAACAGATCTTCGAACAGAAAATCAATGGAATATTTTATTTTTCAATGACAAGATGTCCTGAAATTTCAGTGGAACTTGAACACGATAAAAACTCCCGGAATTCGGCACAAAAAATTCAGACGCACATTTTCAACAGTGTAATTTCATTCTCTAAAGCCACTCTTCATAGCAATAATTTCACTTTAAAAAATGTAAACACGAGCACATCCTTTACCACTTTACCAATTAATCAATTAATTACTAAACCCCATTGAACCTTTCGTGAGAGAAACGATAAATTTTCACAGTTCAATTAATCAAATAATTCAGCAGAGTAAACTTTCAAGTTTAAAACTGCTTATATAAATTTTTTAAAAATTAATCAAATAATTCATAATATTCATCATTTAACATTTGTTGAATGAAATACTCACGCGTTTAGCTCCTCGTGAGCCGACATTTTTACTCTAGTTACTGTCAACGACTGTGTCACTTGTTAATCCGAAAAACAGAGCTGACTCTATACCACGCACGCCTACGAAAGACAGGTCTGACAATGAAACTTTGATGGATACCGCAGTGCGCTCCACAATCAACGCCTTGTGAATTTATCTGGCGGTCGTTTCCCCCACGATGTCGATAAGACACCTCGCGATATGACACTCGTCGTCATCATCATCATCATCATCAACTCGATTTAAGTGCCTAACGTCGTCCTTAATGTTTTTTTTCGAAAATGGATGGATGTGATGGACGCTTCACAGATAGATCGTGAAGATTAGCTATCATGATTGCGGAAATGATTTCTCGGAGGAAGCATTATCTGGGGTTGATTACTTGAAGATAGGGAGGAGCGATAGCTCGATTTTGATGATAACGATACGCACTGTTGAAATTTTGTGGCTGAAATTCCCGGTACACTTCTTGATAATTTCACGGAATCTCGTAATTGAAAATTCAAAATTTCAAGTAAAAATCAATGAAAACTGTGAATTTCAGCTCAATTCAGTAGCGAAGTGGTAAAACGGTATAAGTCATTTTTGACTATTGACCAGTTTTCAATGAATATCTCGGAATCCAAAGGAGATAGCAAAATTGTTGTTATAACCTTTTTTGTAGAGCCGATTGAGTGCTATAACAAATGTGATTATGAAAATTTCGCTATCTGCCTTAGATTCGGAAATATTTCTCAAAAACTCAACTGTGAGATGAGTCGCCTTAAGGAATTTGGGGCGTTGTCTTGAGAGAAAAAAATGTCAAGATATTGATAATTTTTGGTAAATACGTTTTTTTATCTATTAAGAGATCACGTGCAAAGTCTCAGATAGCCTAGGAGAAAGACAACCACGGAAATAATTTATAAAGTTGCAATTTATGCATGAGGTTAAATGGGACATCGATAATTTCAGCGTTTTCCCTACAGTATCGACCTGTCGGCAACGGGAACACTGCTGAAATTATCGATGCCCCATTCAACTGCATAAGAACGTATTTACAAAAAATTATCAATATCTTGACTTTTTATTTCTCTCGACACAACGCCATAAATTCGTTAAACCGTTTTACCACTTCGCTACTGAAATATTCCATGAAAATGAATAGAAATCAGAATAACACACATCGATTGAAAAAAAATATTTCAAATCGCATCATTACTTTGGAAGAAATAGTGGAATATGTGAAAAAAACATCATTTTTGGCGTTTTTTCACGTTTTCTGGGAATTACTAGAGAACCGCTGAAGGGATCGTCTTCATAAACTAATCAGTTCTAAGTTACATGAAGATGGATCGATTAAACAAAAAATTGGAAATGCACCGTTTGTTCAAGAGAAATCGTGTCCCAAAAATTTTTGCGTCACATGCATCCGCACACACAGACAGACATGTGTTCAAAAACATCATAGAATGATTCGAGGGGTCATGAAACGTGGAGATATAAAATTTTCACTTTTGATTTTCGGGGTCATTACAATAACTTCCTTCTGGTCGGGAAGTCAAGTCGATTTTGACTATTGGCCAGTTTTTGACAAATATCTCGGAAGGTAAAAGAGATAGAAAGATTTTTGTCATGACCTTTTTTGTAGAGCCAATTGAGTGTTATAAAAAAGGTAATGAGAAAATTTTCGCTATCTCTCTTATATTTCGAGATATTCATCAAAAACTGGCCAAAAGTCAAAATCGACTTAACTCGGTTCACCGCTTCACTACTAATTTGACTCCCACTTCCGTTGCTCATTAATTAATGTATGAATTCATCATATCTATTTTCATAGTAAAAATTATATCATTATTATTAGCCAATAACGACATGATAAAAAATAACTTTAAGAGCATTATTGAATGCTAAACTAGGTTAAATTTTATATTCAATTAACCATTATTGAATATGGTAATGAAAAATAAATTCCGATCTACTTCTGTTGATTGCAAGACTAATAACAATTTAATTTAATAAAAAACATTGTCTTCAGACAATAGAGTCTTATTTTTAGGATTTCATTCTTAAAAAATAACTTTTCAGTTACAAAAAATCCAAGTCTCCAATTTTGAAGCTCAGAATTGGATTCCCGAGGAAAATCACACAAAAATATTCCTTTGGGAAATTTTGCAAAACAAAAAATTTTTTTTGCCGGGTTGAACCTCCCCTTGAATTAGATATAAAAAATTGAAACAGCGGAGCACAATGAAACAGCCGAAAAATGACTATTTGACACAATTCAAACAAAAAAAAGATCTTTTTTGTCAACTTTTGTTTATTAATTTTTTTTTTATTAATGGGAGTACTGATGAGAATAATAATTTTTTATTCGTCTTATAATTCAATTGATTAGATGAGGTCGATTACACTTTTTTTTTCATTCGATTGAAATTGAGTATCACATTTTCATTTTCTTTTCGATTAATTCATTGCCAAAATTTTCTCTCGTCAAATTTCTCCATAATTTTCCATTCTCCTTAATGAAAAATTATTACCCTAATCAGTACTCCCAATAATAAGAAAAATTAATAAAAAATACACGGAGGGAAAAATTCAATAAAAATTACCAGAAAAAAACGTAAAAATTACATTTCGAAACGTAATCTGTGAGCGAAGTAAAATTCAATAAAAAGTGTGAGTCGGAACTGAAATTGTACGAATCGCCACGTAAATTTTACGATTTGTTCCGTAAAAATTAACCACCCGTCTGATGACTCACCGCTGTGGGGACAACAGGTCGTTCCGTAATTTTCTCCCAACGATTGAGAAATTTTACGGAACGGAACGTAGAAATAACTCACCAGCTTCATAAAAATTGTTGAACGTTCAAGAATTTTTGATTTTGGAGGCATAATAAGTCGGCAAATTTCTGTAAAATTTTACTTCTTCGGGAAAAATTACGTGACAATGTCGTACATTCTTCGGTGATGAACCTGAAAACTCACTGAACATTTCAGATTTATTCTCTTCCATTCCTATAAAAATTGCCGGAAAACGATTCCCCGTTGCAGATTATGTGAATTGTTCCGCAATTTTTACTGAATATTTCTCTCCGCGTAGTTAACCAAAAATATTTTTTTTGCTTGAATTGCGTCAAACGCAAAGTCGTCAAAGTCGTATTATCGACTGCTTCATTTTGCCTCACTCGCCCCTCTCAAAATTCAAAAACCTGGGGAATCACCCGCGAATCCCCTCGACCAATGAAATCGCCCCCGATCGACCGACTGTAGAGCCCTCCCCCCACTCCCGTAGAAACTCTACAGTACGATAACCGGCGGTGAGATGAGCATATTTTTCTGTGAGCGCTCGTAGTCTCAGTGTTTTTGATAAATCCCTGGTCATTTGATTCGACGCGATAAATAATATTCAAGGGGGCCGAGCCCGTTTGATCCCTGTCAACTTGTCGGCTTGACACACACGTCAAAGATGGCTGATAATAAAGAACCACCACCGCTATTTGACAACGTTGATATCGATAAAAACGAGGAGATGGAGGACGACGACGAGGACATCTTCGCCTCAGCCATCCAGGTATTTATTTAATTGATCCATCAATTTGTTATGATTTTTCTCATGTCCAGAGCTTGACTGATGGTGTCGTTGATTAGGAGCAGAATCCGTTGGGTGGCAGCAATTCGTACAATGGAGTGTCTGCGGTCCAGGCGGAGCTGCCCAAATTAACACTCAGAGATGCTCCAGAGGACACATCGTACTCTACTGTCTCCAGTCCAACCCCTGGGCCACTGACCTCTCCACTTGGATTTGTGCCCAATGAGATTGGCGATCTGCAGGAAGTGCCTATCAATGATAATCAGAGTTCAGGGGCTGCTGGAGGGAAGCAAAGTCAACAGCTTGAGGAAGTAAGAATTTTTTCATTGTTTCTTTGTAAAATAATTCGCCTATTATGCGGGGAAAAAGAGCTCTAGTTGCTCTGGGGCACCTCTGAAGTTTGGGAGCGAAAATCTTCGGAATCCTCTATTAAAAAATAGGGGAAACATTTTGGTCAGCAATTTATTTCGCCAAGCATATGCTAGACTTGGGAATGTTTCAAGTTTATCCTAGCTTATTAAAATAAAAAATTCTTATTTATGTAGGTGTGAGTGGGGCAAAATGAAACAGTTGAAACAGTCGACTGTTTGACGCAATTCAAGCAAAAAAAATTTTTATTAAATATTTTTTTTATCAACTGTTTTTGCTTCCGAACGGAAGCCTTGCATTTGAGCGATTTTTAGATTTTCTAATTTTGATGGCAAATGGTCTAAAATGTTATGAAACGTGAAGAAATGATGTGTTTAGAGTCATGTCTGTATGGCTATGTGTGACAACTTGGTTTTTTGGTGATCAATTTTTAGAAAATTCAACATGAATACGGCGAAATTTGTCGATAAAAGTCTGAAATTTTGGCTTACGGTAGCTATGATTGAGCTTCACTTTGGTGCGCAATTTCAGCTCGACCGGCCCAGTAGTTCCTGAGATATAACAACTTCTTTAAATTTCGTTTTTCCTCAATATCTCAAAAAATACTCCACTGATTTCAATTTTTTTTTCAAATTACTCGCCTCGATGGCCTCTATCTAGATTAATCAAAATATATATACCCGTTCAGACAAAATTTGAAGATATTGCCGTTTTTCCGTTTTTTCATGAAAAATCTTGTTTACACGATCACTTAATAAAAAATGGAGATAGCGAGTTGAAATTTTGTATGTTTCTAGCTTTTATAACATAAAAGCTTGGTATTGTGGATGGGCGCAATCGGCCGAGCGGTTCTTGAGATATTCAACCTTTAGTGTAAATATATTTCTTCAAATATCTCACGAACTACTGGACGGATTTCAATTTTTTTTTCAAAATACTTGTCTCGGTGGCCACTATCTAAATCAATCAAAATATGAATATCCGTCCATACAAAGATTCAGAGATATTCCTGTTTTTTCGTTTTTTAATTTTTTTCAATCTTGTCCGCACGATATTTTAAGAAAAAATGAAAATAGCAAGTTGAAATTTGGTGTGATTATAGCTCTTACAATACTGAAGATTCGTATTTTGGATAGGCGCAATCGGCCGAGCAGTTTCGGTGATATTTAACCTCTTGTATAAATCTATTTCATTAAAAGGTTGAATATCTTCCTGTAGACACCCTGTAGCATGTAATTACGGTTGTATGCCTGTCACAAGGACAGGGAGTTGCTGCGGATTCATTCGGGAGCTTATTACCAATGGAATTGGTAGAAATGAAAAAAAGAAAAGGACTAATAACGCAAAAAGTAACGGATTCACTAGAATGGAAAATTATTGAGAAGCTTTGACGGGAGAAGATTTTGTCAGTGGATTAAAGGAAATGGATTAATTGAAAATGATGTTTACTTTAAACGAATGAGAATTTATTATCAGTGTGAAAAGATAAAGAATCGCATTTACGATGCATCCACTTCATCTTTGAATTTCAAATGGTTTTACGTCTCACTAATTTCAGATTCCAACAGAAACAACCGATGCATTCCTGAAAATTACCATAACTTCACCCCAAAAAATAGGGGAGGGAATGGGCGCATATGTGGCCTACAGAGTCGAAACTAAAACGAACATGCCAATATTCAGAAAACGAAGTTTCAGCGTGATGAGACGTTTCTCGGATTTTCTCGGTCTTCACGACAAACTCGTGGAGAAATATTTGAGGAGTGGAAGAATCATCCCACCAGCGCCTGAAAAGAGTGTCATAGGTACGACAATTGATCCATAATTCGTCAGTTCGTAATGAATATCTCGGAATCTAAGGCAGATAGCAAAATTGTTGTAATAACCTTTTGTATAGAGCAAATTGAGAGTTATAAAAAATATCTCAATGAAAATTTCGCTATCTCCCATAGATTTGGAGATATTCATCGTTTTATCACTCCGCTATGAGAATATAAATTTAAAAAACATTCGTGGCCGAATGAATAATTGAGTTAGTATTGGACCTGAATAAATTCATTTTTGAATAAAATTTTATTGCAGGAATGACAAAAATAAAAATGTCAGGGGATAAAAATCAGGAGCAGAATTCGAGCTCAACTGAATTCATTGAGAGACGTAGAGCTGCGCTGGAGAGATATCTGAATAGAACTGCTGCACATCCTGTCTTGAGCATTGATTCTGACTTCAGAGAATTTTTGGAAGCTGGTAAGCAATTCTCAATTCTCTTCTTTTCTACATTATCAAACAATAAAAATTAATTGTATCTTCAAAGAACTCCTAATTCTCACCCATTAACGGTCATCACAGGAATTTTAATCAAAAAACGAAGAAAGGGGAGAGCCAGGAGAAACAATTGTTTCACTAATTGCCAACGGTTCGAACACACAAAGTGTTCCTCATCAGGGCATTCATTTATTCTGCATTCACAAATTTTATTCTAATGAATGAAACTAATAATAAAAATTAAAAACTCATCATTTCAGCCCATCGGTTATTTAAGGGTTGTACAGAAAATCAATTTCAATTTTTGCTTCCGAATGGCAGTATTGCAATCCTTCGATTTTCACATTCTCCGATTTTGATTGGAAATGACGTACAATGGTCTGAAACGTAAAAATACAAAGTTTGGTGACCATGGTGTCGTGGTCTGTATGTGACCACGTCCACCGCCGCCTGCCCGCTGGTCAATTTTTAGAAAATTGAGTAATTAAGTGGCTAAAAGAATTCCAAAAAATTTGAAATTTTGACAGATTATAGGTCTTAATGAGGACTCACTCTGTGCAAAATTTCAGCCCGATTGATCTAATCGTTTTGGAGAAAAAGCGATTCGTTTTTAAATTGTTTTCCGCAAATATCTTCAAAACTAGTGAACCGATTTCGATTTTTTCTGTTTTCAAAATATTCGTTTCGATGCCTGCTATCAAAATCAATCAAAACATATATACCCGTTCATACAAAGTTTTCGAGATATCCTCGTTTTTCCATTGTTTCATAAAAAACTTTGTAAACACTCTAGCTTGTGCAAAAATCGAGATATCAACTCGAAATTTGGCCAGAATCTTCCTCTCTTGATAACAATGTTTCGTCTTGAAGATGAATTCAATCGTACGAGTAGTTTCGGAGATATTCGACTTTTTCTGAAAATCTTTTACATGGAATATCTTAAAAACTACGCAACCAATTTCACTTTTTCTTTTTTCAAAACATTCGTTTTAATGCCTTCTATCTAAATCAATCAAAACATATATACCCGTTCATGCAAAGTTTTCGAGATATTCCTGTTTTTCCGTTTTTTCATAGAAAGAAACCGAGGTATCAACTTGAAATTTGGACAGAAAATATGTATACCCGCTCATACAAAGTATTCGAAACATTGGAGATTTGATAGCACCCATGGAGGTGGCAGTAACCATCTTGAATTTTTGCTGCGTTAGTGTTGTGAAGCTATAAACTTGTGTAATATTTCTGACCATTCGGAAGCCCGCCATCAATGTATTGATGGCGAAAAAAAAAAAAGACATCACTCAGTGACATGCTCACTGTCACATGGCGCGCTGTCATATGCTCGCTGTCCCCTGCTTGTTTCATTCTTCATTCCAATAGCTAGAGAATAAAAGCAGTTAATGATAATGCAAAATGCATATTCATTTTTCCAATTAGATATGGAATTGCCAAAAGCCACAAGTACTTCAGCCCTCAGTGGTGCTGGTGTGATGCGTCTATTCAACAAAGTTGGAGAGACTGTCAACAAAATCACATACAAAATGGATGAAACTGATTCGGTAAGATCCGCGAACATTCCTCCAAAAAATGAAATCGATATGGTAAAGTGGTGGAAATCCAAGAGTTCAAAATCTATAAAAATTATTTTATAAATATCAACCCCCCCTGCGATTTCGACATTTCGGTGCAGTCTCCTCTTGAACTATCCCAAAACTCATTCAAACGTGATTTTCTGGATTTTGTTCTGATCTCACCACTCTTACTAAATTTAATATATGAGTAAGTTCTCGCTGCATGCAATAAAAACCCTAAGTATGTGGAATAATTTTTTGTTGCTTGCGTTATAGGAGGGTAAGGTACGTCCATATCACGTAATTGATGTTTTAGCTGGCTTTCGTCTGCTTTCATAAATTGAAGTACAAGGCGATGAGTGCAGAAATTCGATGTAGGTTACTTTGTAAAAAAAAATTATTAAGAAAAATTATTCTTGAAATATTTAAAATATATTCTCAATTCTTTCAGAAACATTTTGCGGGTTATTTTACATGAATGGTACAATTGTTTATTTAAAAAAAATACGAAATTCGCTGTGTAGGAGTTGAATTTCAAAAAACAAATTTGTAATTGTTATTGTACATATTTTTTTAAAAATTTTGAAAGAATTGAACCTTCTATGGCTCAAAAATTGGAGGCCCTGCACTATTTTTAAAATTTGAAGCGTCTGCGGGAAAAACGAACAATAAACAATTAATTTTTTTGCTATAATTATTTATTTTTGGATATATATAATCGATCTTTAATGTATGAGAAATCGCATTCTAACAGCCTACGACTTTTAAAACTCATAGTACTCTTCCCATAAGAAAAATAAGTTTCAACGAATTCAAGTCTCCACGAAACAGCTGAGTCTATAAAAGAATCTCGTGACATTTCTCCCTAAACCTCATTCTCTCAAAAAAATTTCCAACAAGATCTGCCGAATAATTTTGCACTCATCTCCTGTTTCATCAATTAACAACTGATTCGTTAAATTATAAATCATTTCATTCAAAACATCAAAAGAAGTGAATCATCGCAGAGTTTGGCTTGGCACCATCAGCACATTAATCCCCTCATCACCATATCCATAATGAAATTCATAATGTTCCCAATGTTTGCAGTGGTTCGAGGAGAAAACCTCTCAGATCGATTCCCTCGACACTCAATTACGTGCGTTGCACTCAGCAGTCGAGACATTAACGAATCAACGACGTGAATTGGCTAATTGCACTGGAACATCTGCCAAGTCCATTGCTGTGCTCGGGCATGGAGAAGTTGGTGTGTCCCTGGGGAGAGCACTGGCACAATTGGCTGAGACACTTGAGAAAGTCGAGGTTGTCAGGCGTGCACAGAGCAACAGCGATCTTTATCAGTTTGGGGAGATGCTGAGAGATTATGTGGCACTCATTGGTGCCATCAAGGTATTGAATCAACTCTTCATTTATGAATTAAATAGCGAAGTGGTAAAACGGTTTAAGGATGTATTACACCCTTTTCGCCTAAATTCACGTTTTTTGAATTTTTCTGGTAAATTTTTGATCGCATTGACGTGAAAAAATATACCGTTTTTACGCTTTATCATTACTTAATGACACGAAATTTCATGATCGTGCAATCATTTTCCTGCGTTTTTTCTAAAACTTTTCGGAAATTCACAAAACTTTAGAAAAAATGCAGGAAAATGGTTGTACTACTATGAAACTTTGTGAGTCAGTCAATAATGATCAAACGCAAGAACTCTATATTTTTTCACGTCAATCCGATCAATAATTTGCCAGAAAAATGAAAAAAATGTGAATTTTGGGCGAATGGGTGTAGTATTGCCTTAAGTCGACTTATCCCCCAGTTGAGTTTTTGAGGAATATTTCCGAATCTAAGGCAGATAGCGAAATTTTCGTAATCACATTTATTGTAGCTGTCAATCGGCTCTACAAAAAAGGTTATAATAAAAATTTCGCTATCTCCCTTAGATTCCGAGATATTGATTGAAAACTGGTCAATACTCAAAATTGACTTGTACCGTTTTACCATTTCACTACTGAATTCGTCGCCAGTTTTCATCGATACATTTTTTAACATTGAAGTATCATTCTTTGAATGCAATTTTTTTAAAATGAAACGAGAATTTCTCATCGTTTTTTAATTTTCAATGATTCTATTAGGACAGAAGAATTTAGGAATTCATCTACTATAAGTATTTCTTCTTTATCTAGGGTGGAGAGATAGTTTTGCACATTGCCTTCTATTTTTATTTCTATTTTTAGAAAAATTTGTTCATTTATTTCTGGCGAGACTATTCCGATTAATTTTTTTTCAGTATCAAAGAAGTTAGTTTCCTATGTCCTGCTATCACCCAAAAAAACTATAGAATTTTCCTCGAACATGAAAAAAAAAGATTTATTGAAAATGGCTAAACATCCTTGAGAAACTCATAATCTTACTTTTTTTCATTCTTGTACGCACGATGAGTTGAGAAAAAATGAAGATAGCAAGTTAAAATTTCCCTATCTCCCTGCATTGTCACATTTCCATCTAGCCCAAGTCTCTTTCTGACAAGCCTTCTATTAGCAACTAATTATTAATTAATGAGCAATATTTCAAACGTTTGTGAATGAAAAATGAATTATTCTAGTCCCAAACTTCAGGTTAGAAAATTGAAAAAAATTCGTGCGAGTTTCCTATCGGTAGAAATAAAATAAGAAAAGACCTAGTAACGGTCGCATGCCTTGTTCTCCACGAGTATTAATGCTAATAAATTATTTATGATGTTTAAGGATGTTTTCCATGAGCGTGTCAAAGTGTTCCAAAACTGGCAGCACGCCCAAATGATGCTGAACAAGAAACGAGAGTTGAAAGCACGACTTGAACAGGCTGGACGCAGTGATAAGACCTCCCAAGCTGCAACTGAGGTCATCGAGTGGGAGTCAAAGGTGGAGAGGGGTCAAGAGGAGTTCGATAACATATCGAAGATGATTAAAAAGGAGGTTGAACGATTCGAGGTGCTGAGAGTCGAGGATTTCAAGAAACAACTGACCGAGTACCTCGAGGCGATGCTCCAGCACCAGAACCAGCTCATCAAGCACTGGGAGAGCTTTTTGCCTGAGGCACGAGCTGTTGCATAAGAAGCCAGTTTATGATTAATCGTAATTAATTCAGTAGTGAAGCGGTAAAATCGAATATCTCCGAAATTACGGGAGATAGCGAAATTTTCGTTAGAACCTTTTTTGTAGAGCGAATTAAGGGCTACAGGAAAGGTCCTAACAAAAATTTTCCTATCTCCCTTAGATTCTGAGATATTTCATTGAAAACTGGCGGTAAAACGATTCAAATCCAATATCTCCGAAATTACGGGAGATAGCGAAATTTTCGTTGAAACCTTTTTTGTAGAGCGAATTAAGGGCTACAGGAAAGGTTCTGACGAAAATTTTCCTATCTCCCTTAGACTCTGAGATATTTCATTGAAAACTGGCCAATAGTCGAAATCGACTTCGTTTTACAGCTTCGCTACTGAATTCATTATAAACTTCTGTTATTCCTTGGAATTGTCGTCATTTTTATCTCCCCCAAATCAAAATTTTTTATTTCTTCGAGTCAAAGATCTGATTTCCACGAAGTAATTCAATGTAAAGACGAATTACTTGAGTGGGGGGTGGAGCATTGTCATACTGTATAAGTTTATGCATTTCTTTCACAGTAAGTTTGATAGTTGAGTGGTAAAAGAAGATGTTTTGGTATCACAATGGAGTGAGGTGAGGTTGTTTGGAAATATCTGGCAAGTTACGAGGTTTAAAAGAATTTATCAGGAGACGGTTTTCAAGGGGAAACAAGAGTTTATGAAAAAATGTCACAAGATATTTTTTTAAAGGATTTTGAGAGCTACGAAAAAGTCTCGTGACGATTTTCAATAAATCCAATTGCTTCGGAGATATTCCCAACATTGTCAGGATGAAATTTCGTTTATATTTTCGAAAGGAGGAATGAACTTTAGAATGAATATGTCAGGATACATTTTCTGTAAAGAATTTCAAGACGATTGAGCAGAGTCTTAGGGTATTTTTTAAATATTTTGAATAAACCTATTGGTTTTTAAAATATTCCCAAAATTGTCAGAATGGAATTCCTGAAAATTTCCAAACTGCGATTTGGAAAATGTATTTAGTCGTATTATATCGTCTATCTCTTCGAATGGAAGGGGTTTATTAAAAAATATCAGAAGATATTTTTTGCAGAAAATGTTGAGAACTGCAAGAAATGTCTTGCATGAATTTCCAATAAATCAAGAAGTTCCTGAGATGATTCGAAATAATCCGAACAAAGTAATGAGATTCATTATCTGCTGTGTTAAACGAAAAAAATCTGCTCTTTACCACTCTGCTACAGCTTAATAGCTGATCGAACCCGATAATTTACGCTGCTGGATAATGGGCAAATAATTGCATCACAGCAGAATCCTCGAGTATAACTACGGATGTATAAATACGTTATCATATTAATTGCATTATTAAAACCTTAAAGGAGAATTTAAAGTGTATCAAGATGTGTGTACGTGCGTATGCATGTGTGGGGATGAATCATGTGTCCATGAATTTATTATTAATTGATATTGTTAGAAACTTTATTGGACAATAAAAGCATTGAAAGAGAAGCTCAAGACTATTTTATTTTCATACATTTTCTCATTCTTAAAATGACTTCAAACCCCTGGTTGAGCAGAAAAAAATGCCGAAGCCAACGACTTGAAATTGTATTGAATGTAGTGAATGTAGTGCAGATATATTGAATATGAAGTTATAGATATTGAATTAAAAACAACGAATGTAATTCTCAATTGCAAGTTTTTAAATGAAAAAAATTCATTTAGCTGTTAACTTTTTTGTATATTCAATTTTTTATATATTTAATTCAAGCGAAAAAAAAATTTTTTCTTATCAACTTTTTGTTGTTATTAGGATTATTTATTNTTTTTTCCCCCCCCCCCCCCCCAAGCTAGCCTGGCTATTTATTTGTAGCCCCTGCCAAGGGGTCCTTGTCACCAAAAGGCTTGTAATTCTAAATAAATAAATAAATAAAATATTAGGATTATTGATGAGAATATATCATTATTATTGTTATTACTATTGAGAAGTTTTAACGAGAGAAGATTTTTCTGGAAACTCCATCTCAGTGATAGGCATATCAATCAATCATAATTACCGTTAAATTGTGAAGCTGTTAATTTTTAACATAAATTGTAAAATTTTAATTATTAAAGTAGCCATCAATTTATACATTTAAATTTCGAAACATTCTATCAACCAGTAATTTAGGCAGGAAGATTGACGATTATTCGGATAATCGAAAATCAAGTACCTAAAATTGGAATTAGCTTGGTGACTAAAAAATTACATTTCAGTATTATCAAATATTTTATTCACCATCAATCGAAAAATTTAGCTAATAAATTCTATATTTTAAATTTGTTAAATATAGTGAAACTTTGAACAATATAACGAGATAATCCTTTTTAATATTGCCAAAATCACAAGGTGCCTTTCATCAGGGCAGATATTAGAAATTTTTTGTCTGAGTGTAGGAGTTTCGAATATCAGTGAGTTTTTCGCACCGCAAGTTCTTTTCTACCGAATAGGAAATTATTATTCTCATCAGTACTCCCAATAATAAAATAAGTTGATAAACAAAAGTTGATGAAAAAATTTTTTTTGCTTGCACTCTCCCCTACATATTTTGTTTAAATCGTTGCTGACGAAACAGGGCGAGTATTCATCACATCAAAACAACTGCTATAACTCAAGCGAAGCGATTCGTGTTTGTAATCAGTGCCTACCACTCGCCAACTGGTCAGAGCAAAAAAAAGCTTTGAGAATGTCACAACGAGAAAAAGTTCTAAATCTCTATAAAACGGTAAAAAAAATACAGGTAAATTTTGACTTCAACCATTGAATTTATGTCTCATAAACATTATTTTCATGTTATCTCCAACACAGTTGCTTTATATGGGCCGAGATTACCCCCAGGGTTTCGATTTCTTCCGATCTAATCTGAGGCGAGCATTTTTGAAAAACAAATTCGAAAGTGATCCCGAGAAAATTGACAAGATGATTGAACGGGGACATTACGTTATGAAGGAGATCGAGGCTCTGTACATGTTGAAAAAATATCGAACCATGAAGCGGAGATACTACGATGAGCCTCCCAATGCAGCATAGATCAATCGCTCACGATTAATATTTTTAAACAATATTTTTGTACAAAGAGAGACGATGCGCAGCTCGACGCGCAAATTTTTCTTATTAATCGATAATAAAAAAAATATTTTATAGAGTTTTAACCTTTCTGGAGTAATTATTCTGCATTAATTGACTTTGGCTAATTTTTTTTTTTTTTCAAGAGAATCATAACATCAAAGCCGAATTTCTATGAACATGAAGTGTAATTTCGATGAACTGTCGAGAATTACGAGGGAAATATCAAAAAATGGAGGAGCAAGTTGAGAAAATAACAAATGAAATGATGTTGTCGTCGTGAAAAATCTGAGGAATTTTCATAATCCCAAAAAAATCGTTGGAAGTCATCCCCCCATCAATTTTGATAATAAAATAATGTAATGCACCCGTTCTTGGCTAAAAATTCGTAATTCTAACCTTGAAAATGACCTTTCATCGCCCAAAACATCCGCATTCCAACCAAATCTATCCAATCACTGCATTTAATCACTTATCAATCGCTATGAACCACTATTTAACACTTCACTCCTTAATTTGTTAATAATTAATCCATTGAAATGGAAACCCCGACGTCTGTCACTGTTTAACACCTGTGAATTCGCCATTTTGTTTCACTCTAGCCTATCCTCACCACACCCCATTCCCCTAAACACTTAGTCAAGCATGAAAATGGCCAATGAAATGTAAAATGACGCAAAAAGAATGAAAAAGAATACAGTAATGAAATGAAATTCGCGCCATCAAATTTTTTTTCCAATTTTCCATGAATGTTCTCGACTTTCAGTGATTGGTGCATTTGAAAAAAAATTTTTTGGCGGGTTCCCAACTTGCCACGTGACCATTTCCATCCCCAAAACTGCCCCCATGCGTGAAAAACGTCAACTAAGACACACGGTTAACAATTTTTGGACGTGTATTTTTCTACACATGTTACTTTTGAGTAATTTATTACTATAAATACCTTGTAAATAACATTTATAAATAATTTGGACGTTTGAATAATAGTGTTAAGTGAATCTAACGACAACTGCCATGGGGGACGACCAAAAGATGGATCATCGAGCTAGGAAACGTATCAAAGAAGTCAAGAGGAAAGCGAGACCAGGTAACGTAGTTTTTGCATCATAATAACCTCATACTCGATTTTAACGAGTCGTTAATTAAATTGTGGCAGTTGTTGGATTGAATCTTATGGGTTTAGAGTGTCTCAGATGTTCCAACAATGATGAGTAGGTAATTTAAAATTTTTTTTTGTTTATTCGTCATTTTTATTTGTTTGTCCTTCCCACTGGAAGATTTGTAATCTTTGATTTTGACGATATAATTTTGGTTGGAAATCATCGAAAATGTCGTGAATCGTGGAGGTATAATGTTTTTTGTTAGCAAATATGTATGTGTGTGTGGATTTGGCGAATATTTTTTATCACTAAACATTTACAGAAAAAGGAGTAAAGTTGAAGCTAACAATCTCAAATTTTGTCTCTTAAGGGTGTTTATCCAAAATCGCAAGTCTTAAAAAAATTGATTTTTTTAAAACTGCGAGATGAAGATTATTTAGAAATAAAATAGACAAAATGCACCAAATGCATGCGCTAACATGCGCTTATACGGGATAGAATCGTTCAAATATTTCTTCTTTTTGCCCGGCTACCCCAGATTTTTCTCTGGCCATTGGATTCAGTATGATTTTACACATTACCTTCTATTTTTATTTCTATTTTTAGTCTTCTAGTAGGTTAATTATCAATTTGAACATAAATTTCATAAGAGCCAAAAAAATCACCAAATGCATGTGCTAACACGCGCTTATATGGGATAGAATCATTCAAATATTTCCTCTTTTTGCCCGGATACCCGAGATTTTTCTCTGGCCATTGGAGTCAGTATGACTTTACATATTACCTTCTATTTTTATTTCTATTTTTAGAGTCTTCCAGTAAGGAAATTATCAATTTGAACATGAATTTCATAAGAGCTCGTGTATAAGGAAAAATTAGTTTATTAATTTCTGCCAAGACTATTGCGATTATTTTTTTTTAACGTTAGAAAAGTTAGTTTTATATGTTGTGCTGTCAGCCAAAAAAATTACAGAATTTTCCTTGACCATGAAACAAAAACACATTTACCGACAATTTACCGACACTGGCTAAACATCCTTAATTGTTAGTATTTTGGAGCACTCAGCCGAAATTTCAGCTCAATCGGTCGAGTGATTTTGAAGTACAGGATTTTTTAAAAAATTTTATTCTTCAATATCGGAAAAAATACTTGACTGAGTTAAATTTTTTGAACTTCTGTGTGAAATATTCCTTGTGATAATATCCATAAAATAATAATAATAATAATAATAATAATAATAATAATAATAATAATAATAATAATAATAACGATAATAATAAATTCTGATAAATATTCACATTTAAAGGGAGCGCTGAGAGGGCGTTAAACGCAACAACACGTTTAGTTTACATCTTTGTATTTATAGGGTTAATCCTATATTATAAATCATTTGATTTAGGAAATTCATATTTTTAAATAAAAAAAATAAAATAAATATTCACATTTGAGATAATGCACATTTCAGTTGCCAAAGATGATGATTTATATGTAGATTCGGTAAAAGTTTCCGAAAAACTAGTCCATTTCAAATTATTTGTTTCATTCTAGAACTTGCTGATAAAGCTGCGTGGATGCAGCATGGATACGTCAAGAAATTCGACAAGTTCTGGGACTTTAAGGACAACGTCGACAGAATCGATGAGTCCAAGGTGCCCTGCGATGAGTTTATAGAGAGATACGAAAAAATTTACAAGCCTGTGATAATTCAAGGTGTTCAGAAGGATTGGAAGGCCCAGTACAAGTGGACGATAGAGGTTTGTTCATTTTTTGTTCGTAAAAAATCTTGAATGATCACGTCTGGTTATTTCGTGTTTTTTTTTAGATTGAGGGGGTCTAGGTGAACATTATAATTATAATTTGAGTACGTAGAATGGATAAAATATATATTTATGGCTGGTTTTCAGAGATTAGCCAAAAAATATCGTAACCAAAAATTCAAATGCGGCGAGGATAATGAGGGCTACAGCGTCAAAATGAAGATGAAGTACTACGTGCAGTATATGCAGAATAATGACGACGACTCACCTCTGTACATCTTTGACAGTTCCTTTGGGGAGCATCCCCGTAGAAAAAAATTACTAGATGATTATATTATTCCAAAATATTTCAGTGACGACTTATTCCAACACGCTGGTGAACACCGGCGACCGCCTTACCGTTGGTTCGTCATGGGACCAGAGAGATCTGGTAATTATGTTTTTTAATCATCTTTACTTTCTTGAAAATTTTCTTTTTTTTAACGTCACCTTTTCGGGCTGTTTTACTTCAATTGGGATGAAAAAGCGATTATGTCGTTGATGAATAAATTTAGAGAAAAATTTCAACAGACTTTTTTTGTAGTAAAACTTCTTACAAGAATGACTCTTCACATTTGTCCCAAAAATGGATTTAAAAAATTACGATTTTTTAGCTTTTTCTGCATTTTTTCTCGTTTCTAAAAGTATAATTTTCCTTTTAAAAAACGTCTTCGATAAAATGTGAAAACTAATTAGGGGGGAAGTAAATTATCTTGACAATGAATAAATACAGAAAAAAAATGTCAACAGATTTTTTTTTGTAGTAAAATGTCTTCCAAAAAATGGATCTTCTGCCCTAAAATGCATTAAAAACATGACTATTGATTTTGAGATTTTTCTTTATTTTTCTCTTGCATGAAACTTGAATTGCGTTGAAAAAGAAACGGATTTTTGGATAAAATGTCAAAAGGTTTTTTTGTCTAATACTTTGTCAATTTATTTTGATCCCCAGGTACAGGGATCCACATTGATCCCCTCGGTACGAGTGCCTGGAACGCCCTGATCTCAGGCCACAAACGCTGGTGCCTCTTTCCCACCCACACACCCCGTGAACTCCTCAAGGTCACTGGAGCTGAGGGTGGAAAACAGCGTGACGAAGCAATCACGTGGTTTTCTGTTATTTATCCAAGAACAAAGTTACCAACGTGGCCTCAGGATTGTCTACCCATTGAAGTCCTCCAGAATCCTGGCGAGACTGTTTTTGTACCTGGTGGCTGGTGGCACGTGGTCCTTAATCTTGATGAAACTATTGCTGTTACACAGAACTTCTGTTCACGCACGAATTTTCCTGTTGTTTGGCATAAAACGGTACATGAGACTATTAATTTTATTTTTGTTTTCACAATTGAGGATTCTTATTCATTTTTGCTTTTGAAGGGAAGATTTCAGTAGCGAAATGATAAAACGGTGCAAGTCAATTTTGACTCTTGACCAGTTTTCAATGAATTTCTCGGAACCTAAGGGAGATAGCAAAATTTTCACTATAACCTTTTTTGTGGAGCCGATTGAGTGGTACAACAAATGTAATTACGAAAATTTCGCTATCTGCCTTAGATTCGGAAATATTCCTCAAAAACTCAACTGGGAGATATGTCGACTTAAATCATTTTACCACTTCGCTACTAATTTGTAATCAAATCTAATTTAAGGTTTAGATTTTTTGTGTTATATCGATCTTCTTCAATTGTTCGCTAATGAATCGATAAAATTTAATAATTTTTTAAAATTAAAACAAAATGTTTAGAAACAATTTTTTTCATTAACTTTTGTTCATCTTTTTTTAATGTTATTATTGGGATTAATAAGGAGAATAATAATTTTCCATTTAGAAGAATATAGTAGTGACTGAATTTTTTATTTTTCTTTAGGTTCGTGGAAGACCAAAGTTGTCCCGCAAATGGTTAAAAGTATTACGAGAGAAGGAGCCGGAGTTGGCATCTCTCGCTGAGACGATTGATGTGAAGGAAGAGACAGGAGTGGCGAGTGATTCTTCCAGCGGTTCCTCCAGCAGTTCCTCGAGCAGCAGTTCGAGTTCACAGTCCGAGGACAGTGAGGACGACAGCGGACAAGAGTCCCTCTCCGCCCACAAAAAGAAGAAGAGGCAAGTCCATAATAAGATCATTGACAATAATAATAAACAGGATTAACATTAAAGGAGAAACAACACTCTGAGAAAGAGATGAATTCCAAGTACATCTTCATTTTATTTTGCAACTATCTTTTGAATTTTTAAGAGAATGGGGAAAAATGGAACTCCAAAAGAAATTAATGTTTAGCTCAATTCAGAAAACTTTCTTTTTTATTTTTAGTTAAGGGCCAAATGGTTTGAGACCCTTGGGGATAACAGAATAGAAAACCCTTAAGAATGTTTAGGCTTGAGGATCAAATCAGTAGCGAAACGGTGAAACGATTTAAGTTGCTTTTGACTATTGGCCAATTTTCAATGAATATCTCGAAATCTAAGGGAGATAGCAAAATATTTGTCAGCACCTTTTTTGTAGCCCTCAATTCGCTCTACAAAAAGGTCATTGAAATTTCGTTATCTCCTTTAAGACCCGGGTAGATTATCTTTCGAACATGATCTTGGCTGTTTTTTTTTATTTTGATAATCTGAAATGATCTCCAATTGCTCTTCAGTTGCCCCAAGTTCAATTGCCCCGGAGTCTCCAAAAATTGATTGTACAATAAAAAAAAACTTGAAAAAAAGCTGAACATTTTCAAAGAGCGTTTTTGAATAATATTGGGAAATAAACCCAATAGGGAGAAAATTGCAAATTAATAATTTGATGTATATAATGGCTGTTAGGCCATCATTTGTTACAGTAGTCAATGTCTGTCAGATCGTTAGTCACCATGATAAATTATCCATTCACTATTTCCTCTCTATCGGACTTATTTCTTAATCTTTATTAAAAACGCTCTTTGAAAATGTTCAGTTTTTTTCTACTTTTTTTGATTGTACAATCATAATTTTTAGGGAGTCCTGCGTGATGTAAAATCCAATGGAAATTGTGATGTGTTTTACATTATGAAGATGGAAAAACAATCGAGATAACGTTCGCAAGATAATCCACCCAGCCCTTAAATTCGGAGATATTTCTCGAAAACTCAATTAAGGTCTGAGTCGACCTGAGGACATCCGAGTTTCAAGTTCGCTACTGAAATGGTCACAGAGGGCGAAAAGGTTAAGACCAAAAGCATTTGAGCCTCAATTAAAAATTTGAAAAATCTCTCCCCTGTAAAGATATTCGCAAAATATTCTGGAAATATATTGTGAATGAATTTTTTTCATCCCAGCGATTCACTAATTAGTTTTTTGCTTGTATTATCCTCAGAAGAAAGCTGAACAACCAGCTCTGACAGTGTTACCTCCTCCAAGCCGTCAGTAAACTACGACTGTACAGTATTAACCAATTATTATTGTTTATACTGATAATAAATACTATAATTGCGATGATCTTCCTGTTCGTAATAAAATGAATGCTAGATTATGCCAAATTTTGTCAAATATTCAAACAGCCTTTTATTTGTTTCATATACATATATATTTCAATTTTCATTCTTATAATCTATAATTAGGCGTCTTGCGACAATGCACCGACGGTTTATTCAGTTTCACACCCTGACAGTTTGGTTTTTTTATCGTATACAGATAATTGAGGGGTTGAGTGGCAGGAGAAGATTCGAAAAGATTCGGAAAATTGATTTCGTAAATAATTCTAGTGAATTTAGGGGAAAATGTCAGCAGATCTTCAGAAATCTTGAAAACTAGAGAGAAATGTCAAAAGAGATTTTTTTTAGCTCTTGAAATTCCGTAAAAGAAACCTTCCGGGCATTTTTCGATGATAAACACTGAGAGAAAAATAAAACAAGTTCTCAAACAAATCTTGTTTGGATCAACAAAATCGCTAATTGAAAATTGCCAAACCACAAATTGTTGGATTCGAATTTGAAAGTCACAAACGTGAATAATTTCTCTGCTTTCGATAACAACGAAATATTTGGCTCAAGAGGCGAATAATGCACACGAGACGGTGCTCTTTCAGAATGAAAATATCTAAATTCTCTAAGTATTTCAGGAAATAGTCTTCGAATCCTCGATCCACCACTTCACCACAAAATCAAGTTCAAATAATTGATTACTAATTAATTAATACTCTAGGTAAAAAAAATATCTATAAAAGACACTGAAAGCAGTGTAAAGAAAAATACTTAAAAACACAGAGAGACGGTACAAAAACCCTACAATCTAATAGACATCTGAATCATCCACGAAAATTTATAATTAAAGAAAAAATCGATAAATGAGCGTCAAAGAAATGTAAAACTTCCTTCACAATCAATAACTTCCGTTCACTGGCCATTAGTAAAACAGCTTCAATACTAATAAATTCAGCACTATTAAAAATAATCTCATGATTTTATTCGACGAGGGGAAAAATAATTATCTAAATTAAATACTCTGGTTCATCCATCTCGTCGAGATGCTGCGAATGTTAGCACTTTAGTGAGTTGCTCCGTTGAAATGTTCGGGGATCTCGTTTGTAGTAACTCCACAGTCTGACTGTTCCATCGCTGATATTTTTATCCCATGCAAAGGAAGATAAACGTGATGCATGAACAAACAGCACAAAAATCATAATAAAATAGTTAACAAAAAATATTTGAGGAATTCCAAGCGAAGGTTTTTCGACTGTCGTCTCTTGACGATTCTCTATAAAATCATTTGTTATCAATTTGAATGGAATATGAAATTTATTGTTGTTGAAGAAATTTCAACAATTTTTTTGTTGCAAATTTAATCCTCTTGAAGGAAGGTTTATTGATAATGTTCTTGATAATAAAAATTCCACAATTAGTGAATGTTAAGTTTCTTCGAATCGAACATAAAATGTTGGTAAATAACGATTATGTGGCACCATTTAAGAAACTTTTTTGTTTGTTTTTATTTGAAAGTGAAATGGTCTTGAGGGTCAAACAACCCTTGAGAACGTTCAAGTTTAAAGGACAATTTTATGGAGATCTACAAATATTTTTCTCTGCAACTACGAGACTAACTGACTTGGATTGCCTCAATGACAAAATAAAAATAACGATGAAGTCTAGAAATTCACGAAATACGCTTAATTAATTATCAATGATGAGTTGCAGAAATAATAGCATAAGCAGATGAGTAAAATGAGTTAGATAGACATTGTTGACATTGACATTGCTAGGAAAGGATCGGGAATGCGCCAGAGCTTCACTTCACCCGAGCTGTAATAATCAACATCCCAGACATCATTTATTTGTCAATTAACAACTCAAAATGACACAGAAATTTATGAATTCACTAGAAAAGCACTAATGTCTCAAAAAGGAGTGCATTTTCGAGAAAATCCACTTTTTGTGAAGAAGGAAATTTTGTACCAAAGATGTCTGCAAACATTTTCTTGTCTATCTCTACTAAATTGAGTATTTAAGAATGATCCTTTCACTTTCACTTCCATAAATAATTATCCAAGAAACTAACAGATGCAAATGCGATTTTCACAGAAAATTTCCTGCTCCATTCAAAATTTCATAAGACATTTAATAATTGCAATAATTTCAGGTTTTGATTTATTCCTTTTTCTCTTACTACTTCACTACTGAATTAATCTAGCAATTCGTAATCATAAAATAATTTTTTCTGTGATTTCCAATCATTCAATTACTCATAAGACATTTCTACTAATAAAGGCTGATCATATTTCGATGTTTACTCACTTGCTGGCGGTGAAAATGTGCTGTTGATTTGTGACGACAGCATTAATCGCTGATCCATGAGCGCGGACCTCCCCGAGGGATGAGCACTCGCCCTCGGTGTCTGTGGGCACTCCCCAGGCTCGAAGGTAGCCCCCTCGGCAGCCGGAGACCATCACTGAGCCGTTGTTTATCGTGCAGAGACCCTGAATCCAGTCCTTGTGGGCGTTGTTCAGGGACTGGAGGAGCTCCATCCGGCTGAGATCCCAACGTTTGATGCACATGTCTCTCGAACCTGTTGAGAGAATAATTAGAAACGATTTTTTAGATTTTTTTTTTCAAATGTTCCTGAAAGAGAAAACGAGTTTTTTTATTCTTGACGGAGAGAATTGATGTTTATGGAAAATGCGGATTTAGCATTAAGGGATTGGAGTGAGATTTCTTATGCATTGAAGATTCATTATATATAAATAGAATGTCTAAAAGCGAATAATTAGTGTAAAAAAATTCATTGTTTAGTGTTCGTTTGCCGGCACAGGTTTCAAATAGTAAAAATAGTTCAGTGCCTTCAATTTTTGAGTTATGGGGGTTTTTTATGACGATGATTAGAAAATATTCAGCTTTTTTTCAACGTTTTTTTGATTGTACAATCATCATTTTTAGAGACTCCAGGGCTATGTAAAACTGAAAAGCAATTGGAGATCATTTCAGATTATCAAAATAAAAAAAACAATCAAGATAACGTTCCAAAAATAATCCACCCGGGCCTTAAGCAATTATTTTTCCAATTATAAGAATTTGACGACTAAAATGTTGCTTCAATTCGGAAGCAATGACAAATGCTCACCTGAAAATAGAGTAGCCCCACTAGTGGCAAGACACTGCACCCCATCGTAATGAGGTGGAGCAAGACTGACGGCTTGTCCAGATGTATTCGTATCAACGAGAGAAATGAGATGATCCTTGCTCCCCGTGATGACTCGTCCGTCATCAGCGACAGCAAGGCACATGACAGCTGCTGTGTGGGGAGTGCTCAGACGTCCAGTGTACGTCAATTTCCTGAGATCCCAGACCCTCACTTTATCACTAGTCGCTATGTACAACTCCTGCTCATCCAAACTTAGTGCCAAATCGTTTATTGTCGTTTCACCAGGAGGCACTTGGAGGGTTCTCGCTGTTGTCGTCAGGGATAGTGCACCACTCTGGGTCTGTCCCGAGGAGAAAAGTGTCTTGACACATGAATTGCTGGTGCGAAGGTCCCAGACCTTTACGTAGGCCGATGATACGCTGAAGAGGAGACGATGGGACTCGGAGTATTTCACTGCAACTACGTTGTTGGGGTGACCTGAGAGAGTCATGTTCTCCAGGCCTGTCCCCAAGTCCCATATTTTTACTGTTCGATCTGGGGAGAATATTGAGGATTACTTCGGGAGATGAATTGGGGTTTTCCAGGATTTTTTCGTGACAAGAAGTTATGAAATGGAACCGAGTGTTTCATTGGCATATAAGGGGTGAATAATTATTAAATCAACATTCACTTGACGAAAAAATTCAATTTTGGCGAAAGTCGATTTTCCCTGTGACAAAATCCAAGATCTGACCGACCCTTGATCCATGTGAAAATTAAAAACTTTTATTCCGACATTTTTGTCGCCTCCAAGTGTTTTATTGGCATCTAAGGGATGAATAAATACAGAATCAACATTCACTTGAAAGTCGATTTTCCCTTGGGCAAAATCACAGATCTGACCCTTGATCCAGGTGAAAATTCAAAGTTTCTATTTCGATATTTCTGTCGCCTCCAAGTGTTTCATCGGCATCTGAGGGCTGAATAAATACACAATCAACATTCACTTGGCGAAAAAATTGGATTTTGGCGAAAGTCGATTTTCCCTCTGGAAAAATCCAAGATCTGACCCTTAATCCACGTAAAAATTAAAAAATTTTATTTCGATTGGCATCTGAAGGGCGCGTAAATACAGAATCAACATTCACTCGACGAAAAAATTCGATTTTGCCGAAAGTCGACTTTCCCTGTAACAAAATCTAAGATCTCACGCTTGATCCAGGCGAAAATAAAAATTTTTGATTTCGGCTTTTCTGTCACCTCCAAGTATTTCATTGACATTCAACGGGTGAATAAATACAAAATCTACGTTCACATTATCCAATATCGAAAATTCAATTCGGCTACTTTTGTTTGCCAAGTGTACATACGTAGTTATGAGATGAGATGAATGGAAGAAGTGACGCAATAAAATTGGCGGATTAGATAATGCAAATGAATTTTTTTACCTTTTGAGCCGCTGAATAATAAGTCTTCGGTTGCATCGATGGCCAGCACTGCCTTGCTGTGGCCTTCGGCAACGTGAGTGCATTGCAGAGGTGCTCTAGGCTGCACCTAACGCATTTTCAAAGTTAAAAGTGACAGATGACACAATCTAACAACCTTAATTCAATACAAAACTCATTTCCATAATTCAGTAGTGAAGTAGTAAACCGGTATAAGTTGATTTTGACTATTGCCCAGTTTTCAATGAATATCTCAAAATCTAAGGGAAATAGCCAAATTTTGGTTATAACCTTTTTTGTAGAGCAAATTGAGAGCTACAAAAAAGGAAATCATAACAATTTCGCTATTTCCCTTAGATTCCGAGATATTTATTGAAAACTGGCCAATAGTCAAAACCGACTTATACCGATTTACCACTTCGCTACTGAATTCATCTCATTATCTTCGCAATTTTCTTCCTTCAATTTATTCGAAATTTGAGTGAATGACATTGTAACGGAGATAAGACATAAATCAATAATGAGATTAGTGAATAATGAAAATTCACGAGTTTTTTCGAATTCTCTATGAAAACAAAGAATTTTCTCAAACTTTCTATAAAACCCGAGAATATTCTCAAACTTTTGGTGTAAAAGGTTTCTCCCATAGCAAAAATCTCCGAAATTTGGGATCGTCAAGTGTGAAGACAAGTTTGATAGTCAAGTGATGTATAGTTCGTCCTTCTGGCGATATTCTATTTATTACATTTAAGATTAATTATATTTAAGATTACACACCTTTCCCGGATATTGTGAAATGACCCCCTTTGTCGGTTGTGGATCAGTTGTCAGCGGTTGTCTAGTAGCAGTTAGTCTCGAGAAAACATTCTCCTCACGACTGTTGAATCGACGATAAATCGTCGGCGATCCTGGTGGCGATGACACGTCCATTTGTGCAACGTGCTCCCTAGTTTATTCATTCGATTTTTCTCATGTTAACATTGTTAGTCAGTCAGTTTCAACTCAGAATCAGAATAAAAAAAAAATAAAGAAATTTTTTCATATTATTTTCACATCGTGCAGTGAAATTCGTGTTAATTCCATGCAAATTACACCTAAATGATTAATCAATCAGTTAATTAATTCATCGATTAATTTTTGTTTAGTGCTTAATTAATCCAATCGATAAAATCTATCAATTATTCTCCAGTGAATAAGTACATAAATACATTTTATTACTTATTTCGTTTATAAATATACAAAAAAAATTAATGTACAATCAATTAATAATTTCGCTGAGAAATTCACATAATTATTTTCTTTACACTGACAATAATAAATTGATTAATTGTGAAATAATTGTGTATATACAATTACAAGTGTTTTAGTGCCATTAACGAGGCTCCTCTGATTCTACTCCTCTCTCGTGAATCCTCTAAGCTAACGAGTCATTAATTACCTCCTGGTGAGTCACATGGTACTCAGTACTATTGCCCCGATTAAAATCTATCCCCAATTAAGAAAACATAATTAACAAAAAAAAAATGAGAAAATCCACTTTGGCCAGATTTGTGCGAAATCTCAAAACCATTGATTTGTGCATTGAGGGAAATATTGTTTTGTTGCAGACATGCTTGTAGTGGAGAGGAGATGCGGTCCAGGCCTTGCAGGCAGATTATTTTGAGATAATTTGGATGAATTCTTTTTCCGAGTTTTTTATTGTCATTCATACAAAAAGGAAAAAATGAGCATGAACACACCTTTATCTTTGAAGATTAATCTGAAAAAAATTTCGAATGGAAGTGACAAATAGTGACGAATAATGCCTACTGTTTACACAAATGACTGAAAAAAAAAATTGATGACAAATTAATTGACAAATCTTCTTTCTGCACATCAAATTTATTTTCCCTAGAGTATGTTCATACCACTTTAAGCCAAATATCCCATAGTCAAAAGTAATTCCCAAAAAATTTCAAGAAAATCATTTCCCAGGAGACTAAAAATCAATTCAACCCCTCCTACCGTGATTCTCAAAAAACCATCCCATCTCCACTAAAAAAAATGCGTGAAATAGTGAATCAATGCACAGATAAATGAAAATGACGAGAAGTAAAACGAGCCGGAGTAATCGCACTCACATAGAGCCCCCACCAGGATGCAATGGCCTCCGAAGGGGTCGTGGTGATGTGCTGTCACGTCTACTGAGTATTGGTGATCCACCACCAGCCATGCCACCACTCCCATGCTGGCCGCGCGTCAATACCAAACCCCTGTGATACCCCAGGACAAAACGTGCCAAATGAGTACCTCATAGAGATGTGCAAAAATTTTATGACACGTCACACTGAGAAAAAAATATATTTCTGCCAAATATCCATTTACCCGAGAGAAGTATTTATTTTTTCAATGCCGGATTTCTCCAGTCTAGTTATTCCCGGGGAATGCCCGTTAGGTTTCAATTAAAACAATTAAATTACTCTAGAAGGTGGTCATATTAGTTGTGACCTTGAGTGAACTCCCTCAGTAATTGTCAACATTAAAAAATTAATCAAAATTCTTTCCTCTAGAAAACAAGAAATTTAAGAAAATGAATAATCATGGGACTAACTCGATTGGAGAAATGCCAGTGTGAAAGAAATAAATGTTTCTTTCAAGTAAATGAATATTTGGCAAAAAATTTTTTTTTCACAGTGCAGTGACACGTCATATGACCGTCACATGACAGAGGTCAATTATACAATTTTCGTCATATGACCGCACGGATAAAAAATTTAATAGAAAAACCTAGCGAGTTCGATAGATAATTCTACTGGATTTCCACTAGTTTTTAGCCGAAAAGGTCAACGGAATTCGATTTTTCTATACACCTTATTCTACACTGAGAGAAAAACAAACACGTTATCAAACAAGTGTTGTTTGAGCCAACAAAATCACTAGTTGAAAATTGCCAAAAAAGAATTTATTTGGTTCGAATTTGAAAGTCTCAAAGATGAATAATTGTTCTTCTTTCGACAGCAATGAAATATGTGGCTCAAAGGGCGGATAATTCACACCAGACGGTGCTTTTTCAGGATGAAAATATCTCATATAGAGGAAAATTTATCAACAAATATTTTACCTCTAAGTTACAAGATTGCTATCATATAATTATTATTGTTTCATTTAAGGGTTCATTTCTTATCTGTGATTATTAGACAGCTGAAACGAAAAACTACTATCCCTTGTTTCGCATAAAACAAAGATTTTTCGGGAGCAAAATACGTATGGGAGTATCGAATAACGAAGGAGTAGTGCTAGAAATAACATTTCTTGCGTGTACAGAGAATGCAATTTTTTTTAACTACTAAATCTATTTTTGCGACAAAAATTTTTCATTCCGGCCCACTTTCTGCATATTTGGCACAAAAAAATCATTTTTTGATAATTTTCAAAAAACTTTTTTCTTGACACAAGACTTGTTTGAGAACTTTGTCGTCTTTCTCTCAATATATTGAGATATCGTCAATAGAATTTCTTCGGGTCAAATTTGCCAAGTTTTTTTGTATGATTTTCTTAATGAGAAGAAAAGAAAAATAGAATGAAAAAAACTTTGAAAATTTGAGCCGAAGAAATTACACAGACTATTTCTGAAGAGAATAAGTTATATAGAAAAATCGAATTCATAAATTTGTCATATGACGAGAAAAAAAATGACGGTCATTTTCACATCTCCAGTACCACATGTTGGTGATAATAAATCAGGGAAATAATTTTTCATACTTAAGACTGCCAGGTGCACTGGGCACTCGAGTCAGGGGATGATTGTGATTTTGGTTGTGATCGTCGATCTTCAGTGAATCAGCGCCAGATCCCACGCCGTAGAGGAGCTCTTGGGGTTGAGTTGTTCGTCGACGAACTTTATTGCTCTTTTGCTTGACATCGTTCATTGATATTTGGCTATAGCTCTCGCTGCTGTAAAAAAAATCATTCAATTCCATCGAGTCATTAGCGAGAAATTACCCAGAAACACTTGTCACGTACATACATACATACACACATACGGACGGACACGTCTAAAATAGTATATTTCGTTACGAGTGCTCATTCATTCAATATTCATCAAAATCAACATAAACCGTTTTATCTCTTCGCTACTGAATGAAGATATCCAAAAACCACTTACTTATCAGGTGAAGAACTCCTCGAGCTCGGTGGACTGTAAACCAAGCTATTATCATGACTACTGGTCATCGTAAGGAGATCTCTGTCCCTCAACACATGCTCCAAAAGCTGATGCTGGACATCGCTCTCCTGCGCCACCTGGTTAAGCCGACTCTCCATGTCCCTCACCTCAAGCTGCTTCTGTGCCGCACTGCAGCTCTGCTCCACCGTGAAATTGAGCATTCTCTGGAGAAGATATTGCGCCTCGTCAACACTCTTCACAGCTGCAATCAATGCCTCAACCCCGGGCTCCGCCTCTGTCTCCCCATCCCCCATCTCCACCATATCCCTCTGGCACTCCGCAATGCTGTCCTGCAGATAGCTAATCTTGCTCTTGACATTGTCGATATCCTCGTCAACATCCGCAGTATCCCCCCGAGTGGCTGCGACAACAGCGCGATGCTTCTGGAGCCTTTCCAAGTCCCTCCCCAATTCCTCCCTCTCCATCAACAACCTAATTTTCAACACATGGCACGTCAATTTTACTTGAAGCTAAATTTTTGAAAAATGCCTGCATGAACTCTTTGCCATCAATTCAATCCCTCGTTTCACCAGTTTATTACATAATATGAAAGAATCCAAAGAAATTATAGAAACTTCCATGATAATCTGTCTCACAGTTTCCATGTGGCTGTCAGGAAAGAGTTCCTCCCAAGGACTCCTCCAACTCTCTTAGACGTAAAGATGTATTTATGCCTAAGAAAGTACAATGAAAGATACAAACCTTTCCATCTCCCTCTCAGTCTCCGCCGCCGCCTGCTTGGCCAACGCTTGCTTGGTAATAGTCCTCTCAAAAGTCTGCCACATTTGCTTCAGCGTCTTCGGGTTAACCTTCTTCACCGCCGTTCTGCCTGCAACCTTCTGACTCAGTCCCCTATCCCTCTTCCTTAACGCCGTCACCTCCTCCTGCTTCCTCCTCAGCACCACCTCCTTCATCCTCTTGTCCGCCTCCAGCGTCCTAATCATATTCGCATTCTTCCTGCTCTCCTTCCTCAACTGCGCAATCTCTCTATTTCTCCTCAACTCATTCTCCTTGTGCCTCTGTGCCTCCTCTCTCATCTTATTCAACAGCTTAACCTTCGCCCTCTTCATCTCCGCGAGCTCATTCCTCAGCCCCCTCAACCTGTTCTCATTCTGCGATTGACTCTTCAGTAATCTCGCATGTTCCTTCTTAGCCGTCTGCAGCAAGCGAACCTCCTTCTGCATCACTGTGAGCTTCTTCTCGTACTCATCCCTCAGCTTCTTCACCTTCTCCGTCGGTGGTGAGGCCTGCTGCTGAAGGGACGACAGCACCTTATCTCTCTCCTCCTGAGTGTCCTTGATCCTCGCTTGCAGCTGCACCAGCTTATCCTCGTAATGCTGCTTCATCGTCTGCAGCCTCCTTTGAGACAACTCCAACTCTTGAATCAACCGTTGCTTCACATCAATATCAGACGTCAAAGCTTCCAACTCCCGCCCCATAGCAGCTTCCTCCTCGTCCTCCTCCTTCCTGTCAGAATCGTCGTCGGACTCGTCGTCACTCATCGACTCCTGTCCATTCTCCGCACCGTCACCCTCATTATCCTCATCATTGTTCTGCTGTCCCTTCAAAGCCGCAAGGACGTCCATCTCCTTCTGCAGCTCGCGTTTGGCATCTGCAAGGACCGAAGACGAATCGCCAAAAGGATAAGACGGCTCTGAGTAAGGATTGGCAGCCTGAACCTGCATCTGTCGCTTCTTCACCTGTTGGTACATGGCTTCGGCCTCCATCAGCCGCGCTCGAAGCTCCTCAATCTCTTGGACGTACCCTAGGATCAAGCCCGACACGTCTTCTCCGGAGGCGCTATTCACCCATTGCCCAGCAGCTTTCTCAGCTATCAGCAACGAGTTCTTCGCTGTCAATCCTTCAACAGTTTCGGACAAGGCTTTGACCCTTGTTCGAAGGCTTTGGAGCTCGCTGTTGAGCATCTGGTTCTCGTGCCAGGCGTCATTGACCCCGTCCTCCCCGACGACTCGCTTCCCCTGTCGGTACTCAAGAAGCTCCAGCTGAAGCTGCTGGATCTCCCGTCGAAGTGAAGCGATCGTTCTCGACGATTTGTCTTGATTGATCATGACCTTGTTCTTGATGTTTCGGGCGCGATTCGCGTATTTCAGAGTGCTCAACGTCTCCATGAAGTCCCGATCGCTGGGGGAGACGCAAGCGATCATGACTGTCTGGCTGTTGCCACCCAGGGAGTCCTGGAGGAGACGCGTCAGCTTGGAATCGCGGTAAGGCACGTGTAAAGCTTTCTTCGTTTTGTCACCGAGGGCGGAGATGACGTTCCCCAGGGCCAGGAGGCCGCAGTTTATGGAGATGCCTTCCTTCGCTCGGTCACCAGTCGCGCCCGTTCGTTTCAAACGCTCAGATCCCGCTAGATCGACGAAGTGGAATTTGGCGGTCAAGGTCTCGAACTCGTTCGCGGGGTCTGAGGAGGTCGTGTCGACGTCCGCGTCGGGGTCCTCGATCTTTATGCATCGTTGCTGTTTTATGTAGAGGGTGAAAATCGCGTGGGATCGGGAGGATTGAGTGTTCATTTGGGTGGAGCCCGTGGTTCGCGAGAGGGCACCCAGGCGGAGGTACTCGAGGGCTTGTTCGGGGCTTGTGACGACCCGGGGCTCGACTCCGGCCAAGTGAATGTTGCCGGAGGGATCCTCGTGGATTCGAGCACCGCCTCGGGGACCGCCGGGCTCCAGGAGGTCTTTGAGGTCCTCGTTGTAGAGCTCCAGGAATTGGGCGGTCACCTGGGGGGTCAGGGCTTTGTTTAGTTTTCGAAGTTAATTGGCGGGGGAACGGGGGAATATCAGCCACTTTTCTTATTTTTCACGTGGATACATCTATGTTGTCATTATGGGGGGGAGGGGCATTTAGGGAACAAGTCCTTATGGTTCCTTATCGGCAGTACTGCCATCTATCGCAATTCTAGATTTTTCTAGTGTGACGTGTGGAGATATTCACACGTCGATTTTATTCAATTAATATTTTCTAGATAGAAAAAGTCCCAAATGCTCAATAAGCAGTCTCACGGTGACACCTGAGTCCAGCTTCTCAGAATGGAGCTGTTTGATTGTCTTAGCCATTGTCAGTGATGGACATATGGCCGTGTTAGTTAGAAAAACCGTGAGAACACTTATTTAGCATTTTCGGCCAGCAACGACTTTGAAGCTCTGGAATAGGGCAGAGTACGGCAGGAGTTGAAGATGGACGGACGTCCTCTCCTAGCCAAAAATCTATAGTAGATCCGCGTCGAAACCGAACCCATTTAACAGTTGATTTTATACTTTACCTATCTATTCAATATACTGTCAATTATTAATGTAACAGTGGTGCTCGATTGTTTTATACGAAGAATACCTAATCAAATCCTATCCTAGTCGCGTCACGTTAGATCTTGAGAGAAATCCGCGTGAGCTCTGACCGTAGCTAGTTGAGCAAAAGTTTTTGAGTCGACTGGTGACTCAATTAAGGGAGGTAGAAAACCTCTCACGTCACACTAGCAAATTCGCGAAAATTTGCGAAGTTCAAATTTACATTTAAGGCCCGGGTGAACTATCTTTCGAATGTTATCTGAATTTTTTTATCTTTCGTAATCCAAAATTGTCAATTAAGTGGTACATCATGTAGAAATTCCCAAAAATTATGATAGAATGATAAAAAAAAATAGAAAAAATTTTGAACTTTTTGAAAGAGCCTTTTTCATTGAGATTCAGAATGAGTTGAAAAAAGTGGAAATTACAAATATCTGATTCGCTGTGGCAAATTATCTATTAGCTGTCATTTTTCATGGTGGATAACAAATAACTCCTCATGGGAAGTGACAGCTAGGTATCTCAATTTTCAAAACAGTGGTATCTAGTCATCTGCCATTTTTATGTGATAAAAGTGTGATTAGAAAATTCTTCAAAATATTACAACTTTTTTCAAAGAGCCTTTNTTTTTAATTGAGATTCAGAATGAGTTGAAAAAAGTGGAAATTACAAATATCTGATTCGCTGTGGCAAATTATCTATTAGCTGTCATTTTTCATGGTGGATAACAAATAACTCCTCATGGGAAGTGACAGCTAGGTATCTCAATTTTCAAAACAGTGGTATCTAGTCATCTGCCATTTTTATGTGATAAAAGTGTGATTAGAAAATTCTTCAAAATATTACAACTTTTTTCAAAGAGCCTTTTCCGTAATAAATGTCTCTGTGCAGTGTGGGAAAAGATTTACGAAATCAGTCTTCCCCCTGCATGATATTGGGTGACGGGCCGCCATTTGTCACCGTAAATCAGATAGATTTTTCAATTTCTTGTTATTCAACTTATTCTGGATATAAATTAAAAATGCTCTTTGAAAAAATTAAGAATTTTTTTCTACTTTTTTTTGATTATTCATTCATAATTTTTCAAAACTTCTGCATGATGCTGGATTTAAGTAACAATTTCAGATGGAGAAAGATGAAAAAAAAACATCGAGATAACGTTCGAAAGATAGTACACCCAGGCCTTAAATTAAAATTAAAATTTACAAAGTTTGAATTTAGCTATTTATATCTGTTATTATTTTCTCGGGATGTGCAATGAAGCCAGGACTTCCAGATAAGCCATATCCAGTTTCATTTCGCCGAGTAACCGGACACTGTAGATGTTGACTGAAATAATCTCCTGACAATCAAGTCCAACTGATACTGCATTTCTTTGTGCTCTTCTCAAGGCCTTACAGGTATTAAGACGGGGTCAGGGAGAATTTGAAAAAAGCAGAGAATTGAATGCCAATTTTTAACTTCTCGATCCGATTAGAGGAAGTTATTGTAATTACCCCTAGAAACTCTCTGGACATTTTTTAGAGACCTGTCTGTAAGTGTGGATGTGTGATTTTCTTTTCTTTTCAGGCCTGGGTGGATCATCTTCCGAACGTGATGTTGATTGTTTTTTTTATGTTGATAATCTGAAATGATCTCCAACTGCTATTCAGTTTTACATAGCTCTGGAGTCCCTAAAAATTATGGTTGTACAATCATAAAAACGTTGAAAAAAAGCTGTACATTTTCAAAGAGCGTTTTTGAATAATATTGGGAAATAAATCCAACAGAGAGGAAATTGTAAATTAATAATTTGATGTATCTAATGGCTATCAGATCGTTAGTTAACATAATCAATTATCCATTCACTATTTCCTCTCTATCGGCCTTATTTCTTAATCTTTATTAAATACGCTCTTTGAAAATCTTCCGTTTTTTCCCGTTTTTTAATTGCACAATCATAATTTTTAGGGGCTCCTGCGTGATGTAAAATCCAGTAGAAATTGTGATATATTTTAGATTATAAAAATGGAAAAACAATCGAGATAACAGTCAAAAGATAATCCACCGGGGTCGTCATTAAGAAAATCAAACGAAAAAACTTGGAAAATTTGAGCCGAAGAAATTTAGTGGAAACTATCTCAATAGAATAAGTTGTATAGAAAGCGACCAACAACCCAGTCAACAATGGAAATAATTTTTAAATTTGCTAAAGTTGTTTTGCTTTGTGTGAGTTATGATTCAGCATGGAATCTTCTCACCCGTGTACAGAGCTTGAAAAACTGTCCAATATTTTTATCAACGCATTCGAGACCATCATATCGACTCATTCCACTGACCTTGAATTCAGGTGGCATGAGAGCTCGCTCCCTTGCACTGGCCTGTTTATCAGCTATACCATCGAACAAGTGTCTGATAGCCCTTGGAATAATGCCAACAATCATCTCATCCACTTCAACGTCAAATCCCGTGCCCATAGTGTACGTCTTTCCCGAGCCAGTTTGTCCATACGCCAGAACTGTTGCATTGTATCCGTCCAATGCACCATCCACCAGTCTTGCAACACATGCATCGTAGATCGGACTCTGTCCTGTGTTCGTATCGAAGACGTAGTCGTAGGTGAAGGCCTTGTCGGGCCCCAGAAACACCTGGGGCTCACCCGGGGGCACTTGGGTGCAGATTCTACACATGTCGATCACCTCGCGAGCCACTTGAGGCCGTATCCTGTAATTAAAGCAAGCATGACGTCAAAACGTTCGTGGAAGTTGCGGTCGATGGTTTATTCATGATAAAGACTTTTTGGGATTTATGGACACTGGTTAATTTAGTGGGGGCGTTAAGAGGCCGGCCAAGTTCGGTTTAATCGATAATGATAAGAAAGCGTGAGGAATTGCCCTTTTTTCTTTCGAATCGAAGGATTGTATTCGTCGGATTTTGACATTCTGTAATTTTGCCTGATAATGATGTTTTTAGAAAATGTTTGCATGTCCGGGGTCTGGTAGTTCGGTTTAAGGTTACCACTTTTTAGAAAATACATTGATACGGGAAAATTCATTGATATGGACGAAAAATTTTGGTTCATAGTGGGCGCTATTCAGCTCAAGTTCGGTGAACAATTTCAGACCGATCGGTCCAGTAGTTCCTGAGATATTCAACTTTTTGTACACTGTTAAAAATTTTGATTATTTCGCCAGGGATATCTTTAAGCTTAGGAACAAGGATAATCTTTGGATAGAATCCTAGATTATCCACATCTATTTTTTTATTTCCTTTGGAAATAAATATTTTTAAAAATATAAAATATATTATGAAATATAATATATATTTTTTAAATATCAGTAGCAAACTGGTAAAATGGTACAAGTTAATTTCGACTATTGTCCAGTTTTTAATGAATATCTCGGAATCTAAGGGAGATAGAAAAATTTTTGCTGGAACCTTTTTTGTAGAGCCGATTGAGTGCTACCACAAATGTCATTACGAAAATTTCGCCATCTCCCTAGATTCGGAAATATTCCTCAAAAACTCAACTGGGAGATTAGTCGACTTAAACCGTTTTACCACTTCGCTATTGATATGAATGTATAAAAAATGTTCAATTATTTATTGTACGAAATAATATGATTCTAGCTGCAATATGAGATTGAAATATATGTTCATCATTAAGCTTTACTTTAATTTTCTGATTTAGTATTCAATGATTATTATTCATTTAAGAATTCAATAAAACACTAACTTGAGCATGCGCGCGCAAATCGCGTGATCGTTTTCTGGTGAGCTGAAATTTCCGGTTCACTTATCGAAAATTTTTATCGAATTTAATTACCACTGAAATTTCACGGAATTCCGTCATTGAATGAGAACTGTAAATTTCAGTTCCATTATTTCCTGAAAATGGATAGAAAACCAGAAAATTCCGGTAAACATATTCTTGAATTTTCAGGACAGTGACAGTGAGTGCGATTTAGAAGTAAAAAAATCATGAAATTTCAGATTTCAGTGAAAATTCAATGTAATTTGTCACTGAATATTCATATTAGATTGGAAATTCAAATAAATCAAGAGATACGAATATTTAAATTGAGATGCATTATCGATCACTATGGCGTAGCTTGTGAAGGTCTACCAGGAACGAGCCTGGTCCAGACTAAACAGATGATGAACGATGATTTGAAGCCCCAACGGGGAAGTGGAGGAGTTCAGTTCGCCCAGAGGACTAGGCGTGGAGCTAATCACTTAGGAAATCACTGGACCACTCGACTGGAAATCAAGGAAGAAATCAACAGAAATCAATGGAAATCACTGGAAATCAAGTGATTTTCATTTTTGGTAGTGATTTCTAAAGATTTCTGGAAATCATCGGAAATCAATAGAAATCAAGTGATTTCCGAAATCATTAGAAATCATCGATAAGTGTAAAATCGAAATTGATTTTACAGTTTCAACTCTACAATTTTTGTTATGGTATCGGTGCGTTCGAAATCACCCAATCCCGAAATGTGACGTTATGAAGTTTTTTACATTCTTACGTATTGTAACGTCATGTAGAAAACTGGGATTATCGACAGATGCTCCACCCTGGTCCCGAAATCATGATTTCTCCAGTGATTTCTTGAAATCACGAAATCATTGGAATCTACTAGAAATCATGGAAATAACAAGAAATCAAAAGAAATCATGATTTCTAATGTTGATTGAGAAATCACAAAAATCATTCGCGAAATCACAGAAATCAAGAGGAAATCGCAGAAAATCATCTGATTCTGGAAATCACTGAGTCACTCGATTGAGGAGTGGCCAGCCCCTCGGGACTAGGCGAGAGCACTTGCGACATTCTTACAAATCATATCCATTCAATAATTATGAATACATCGTATTCTGTGAAGTACTAAATATTCAGTCTACTACAATATATCAGCGTATTTTGTTACTTCGTAAATCGTTCAATTGTGTTTTTTCATTATTTCATTATTATTTTTCCCTAAATCGCATTCAGTGTCACTGTCCTGAAAATTAGTAGTCAAAATATGTTGTACAACCATTCATAAAAGTTTTCGAGATATTGCCGATTTTCCATTTTTTCCCTAAATTCCTTGTACTACTTCGACGGACTACTTCGAGTCCACCTTTCGTATGTCCAGACTTTTTGCTTCAGTCACTCGATTCCAAGATATTACGACGGCTTTCACCACTTCATTATCAAATTGATCTTCAAAAATTTGATTTGAAAATTTGATTTTTATGTGTCATCAATTCCATTTCCCCTTAAACAACAGTAAACACAAAAATCAGCTGTTATCACCGGCTTCAGATAAACAATCACGAGAAACGTTTGCATTGATAAAGAAAGTCATGAGACTCCTTCACTCCAAAGCGAAAGAAAACTCGTCACAATCGTAGAGAATTATTTTAAAAACCCTCCGAGCCAAAACAAACATTGACTCGAGTGACAGTGACGTGTGAATGAACGTCCCACCCGTCTAATCAACAATTCTCAACGCCTCCAGCTGAGCAGTATTTGCTCCCAAACACTAGTTCTCTGACGAAATAAAGAAACAAGATAAGTTAACTCGGTTTCATACTGAGTTTCTCATGAATAACTTTGGATCCAGCGCAAACAGGAGGGTCTCACAGGGGTTTTCTAGTGGCTAAGAGAGACTCCCTCTGTTATTCTGAAAGATAGTAGGCAATCTTCATTGTCAGATTGCTATGAAAGTTCAAGTACATAATGATTGCATTTGAATTCAGTATTTGTGTACTTGACGCAGCATATTCAGATATTTCTCCCATGATTTTTGCTTCCGAAGGGCAGCAAGCATTGCAATCCTTCCATTTTCACATTCTCTAATTTTGATTGGAAATTATGTAGAATGCCCCGAGTCGAGGATTTGGTTCTGATTGGACGTACACATGTCTTTCAAGATCTCTCCAGACCTAGGTGGACCTGGTAAGTCCTAATCACTTCTGCGACGTACTTTTCTAGAGACCATTCGAATCCTCAGTTCTTTTCGGTCCTGAGAAGTCCTCCTCGATGCTACCGAGAACGCGTGATTTTACGAGCGGGTGAAGGGGAAGGCATGTATGCGGAGGGTTGAAATTTGTAGCCAACGAGGAGACAGGGTTGCAGAATATATTTTAGCCACCCTCATCTCCCCGTTTGCAGGCGGTGTTTAAATAAAAAATAGTGAACGTTGATTCTGTATTTATTGACCCCCTGATGCCAATGAAACCCTCGGAGGTGACAGAAA